GATGTGGGAAAGCAAAAAGCTCAGCAGGTTTATTAAAGAATTATAAAGGAAGGGGTTGTAGAAAGCATGTAGAAAGCAAGGTTCCACAATTTATAGAGTTCATATTTTAGGTATAAGGAAGCCAGTGAAAGCTGAGTAGAAAGAATGACCTGCTGAACACTTCCTGTGGAGATTAAGGTATTTTTCATCTCTGCGATAGACTGCGATATGAAGAGAGGCTGTTGCACTCATAGAAGTAGAGAAAAACACAAGCTTGGACTGTTAAAGTTACCTATTCAGAATGTGGAGCTAGGATTGTTACAGTTATTTAGAATGAAGAATGAGGATTACATATAAATCTCTTAAATAATAGAATAAGGGAACTCTTCCTGAAGACCACATGTTGAGTCAGTGTAACTGGCTCCTTGCCCAAAAGTCCAGTAGGTTTTCTACTGCGCCAATAATTCCTTATCTGCCTTCCTGATTTTATAGCTCAGCCCATGTTTTGATTATTGAAGTTTCACTGCGGCCCCAGCACGCGGAAAACACGATATGCTAGCTGTGTGAACAGGGGACAGTGGTGTTACGGTAAAGCAATCGCCCCTGCCTGTAATGGGTTACTCTGAATAAAGAACCGAGACCAGAATCCAAATTGGAATTTAAGAGCCCTTATTAGCCGGGCGGGCGGCTGTCAGTCTGGTCTCCACGCAGGGAGATGCTGAGCAGCCCCGAACCCAAGAATGCTTCAGCTTTTAAGCTGGAAAACCACATCCTGCTTGGCGCAGGTGAAAACATTTTTTGCAAGGGCAGAAAGCGGAACCTATCGGTTTCAGCAAGCAGGTGTTGCAAAGTTCAGAACGTTCTCAGAAGCATATATTTTTTTCTCAAACTAAAAAGAACAGTCAAGCACAGTCTCTCTTTCTCGGGTCAAACTGACATCTTTTTCCTCCACCCAATAGCCCAGTAATTTTTCATCCGTCTTATGTGTTCACCAGTAACGTGTTCACCACACTGCCGGGGCGCCCGCTCCAGTCCCCCGAGACCCCAGGACCAGCGCCCGGCGCCCCCGAGCCCCGCCCCCAGCCCTCCGCGATGGCGTGACGCGCGCCTGCAGCCGGCCTTACTCTCCCGAGACGGGCGGGCGCGAAAGCCAGCCAGTGCCGAAGGTGGCGCCTCCTTTCTGCTGGGTTCTTCTGAGGCCCAGGGTTCAGGTGCCGCGAGGACGCTGTATCCTGAAGGGGCCACGAAAGGGCCTGGATGTTTGCAGGGGGACGCAGGGCCGGTCACCCGGACCACAAGCTGCACCTTTCCCACGGGGCTGATTCCGGTCGGACACTTCCGGTGGAAGCACCGAGTGGCTCCGCCTCTCTCATGGAGCTGGTTCCGGCCGGACGCTTCCAATGGGAGGATGAAGAGGCGGACGCGTCTTTTATTTTCTTCGTGTGGTAGTACGTTTGGCACTGTTGTGTCCCCCTGCTTCCTCAGCCTCGACTTTACTTTGAGGTGATGAAACTGTAGTCCACGTAGCAGGGATGTTAAACAAACTTCACCTGGGCTGCAAAATCTGCGCCCCAGTGCAACCCTGTTTCTCGAGTTTTTTTGTCAGTCCTCCTACCCTGGCAGAACTCACATATACAAAATGGGGTTGAACATAACGCCTGGATTAATGGTGTTAATCATAACCTTTGGAGTGTGCATGGCCCTAAACCATCAATACTTTACAGTATCCAATCTGTAAGAACTATAGATTGATAGTAATTTACGTTTACAGCTACTCTTTGTCAAGTCTCCTTTTTGTACCTCTTCTGCATGTAACCACTCTCATAAAATTTGTTCGTTGTTCCCTTGATTTTTTTTTTTTTTTTAGAAAACAATTCTATTGGATATATATACATGGCCAAATAATGTATGGTTTAATTTTGGTTGTCTCTAATCTAGAAGTCATCATGCTGTATGTAACCTGTGTTTGTTTCTTTTCTGTCAACAATATGTTATAAAGATTTATTCACATTGTTTAGTTAAAATTATCAGTAGTGTATAACATTCCAGTTATGAATACAGCACTGCATTTGTTCATTGTTCCAAAAATGGACTAGTAGACCATAATCCGTCTTTGGGATTACTGCAACAATTTCAGTGCTCCCTTTGCTTTCACTTGAATTGGCCACATTTTATTCTCAATAGAGTGGATCCAATGATACTGTTTAAGCATAAATTCTATCACAAACCTTCAGTTTAAAACCTTCAGAAGCTCCCCATTTCATTAAAGATAAAACCCCAAATCCTTAGCATGGCCTATAAAATGCTGTATAAATTTTACTTTGTATAATCTAGTGTAAGATTATACATACAATCTTTTCCATTTGCTCATTCTGCTCCATCCCAATGGAATTTATTGTCTGGAATATGCAAGAAATATTATTGTGTAGGATCAAGGTTCCGGTTGTTTGCTCAAGGTATTCTAATTCTCTCCTTTCAAATTTTTGCCCAAGTTGTATCTCCTCCATAAGATTTATCTTGGCACCTGTCCCTATCCCCTCCCCCTCTCCAGTCCTGAGGTTGGAATTCAGTTCCTCATGCATGCTAAGCAAGGGCTCTGTCATTGAGCTATGTATTCTGCCCTCTATAACATTTTCTAATACTATGCAATTTATTCATTATGTTGCTTTTCTCCTAGGCTACAGTATAAGAGCTTTAAAATCATGGTTCTTGTCTGTTTTGTTCACTACTCTCTGCCAGGATTTAGAATAGGGCTTACCATGAAATCTCTCAATAAATGTTTGTCAAATGAATGGGCATTTAGATTATTTCCACTTTTCAGAAGTTACAAACAATGTGTCTATGAATCCTCTTGTACATGCATAAGAGTTTCAGGGATATAATTACTGGATGTATGGTATATAAATGTCAAACATTGTAAAATAATGTCAAACTATTTTCCAAAGTTTATTCTCCCATCATCCATGCTTAAGAGAGTATGTTTATACATACTCTCTTTAACAACTGGTTTGGTAGACTTTTAAACTTTTTCCAATTGAATGGGCATAAAATATGGCCTTTATATAACTCCAAGAGATTGGACATCTTTTAATATTTATTGCCATTGTGTTTACTGTAATATAACTGCTATTTTTTGCCCATTTTTCTATTCTTTAAACTTTTTCTTAATGGTTTGTATGAGTACATATTCTGGATACCATGTTTTTGTTGGTTTTATGTGTTACAAACATTTCTCCTAAATGTAGCACTTTGTTTTTGCATTTGTTGTGGTTCTTTTGATGAACAAAAATGGTTAATTTGAATATGGTGTTTATTAATATTTTCTTTTACAATGAACAATTAATGAGAGCTGTCAGAGGGCTACCAACCAGCAGCATTCCCAGCAACTATGGAAATATGTCTTCAGTTCTGAAGAAGGACCTGGGAGGCACAGATCCCTGCTCTTCATTACAGGCAAAAATTTGACATATTCTTTCCGTTTTCCTTGTACTTGGGGCAAGGGTATGTGTTCCATGTGTGATCACTCAGGTGTGCCTATTGTTTGAATTTAGTGTAGGTATTACAAAGAACTAGAGGCACTAGAAAATCTCTCGATGGTGGCAGTGGCACAAATGTGAATTTATAGGTTAGCAGTGGCTGCAGGCTAGTCATAGGCATCCAGTGTTTGGAGCACCCAGAAGCCATGGGGCAAGCTGCAATACCCACTGTTCATTGACAGTGTCTTCAGTCAATCCCTAAGATGGTTTCAGATGTTGTTTTGGTTCTGGTCTGAATGTAGGCCCCTGAGCTTGGTTCTCCATCCTTATTGGTGTTTTCACAAAGTCTGCAGCTCTTTTTATCTCTGGTTCTGATTTTCATTTATCACATCACATGAAAATAATTGAGCATATTTTTCACAGAGTTTCAAGAGATAGTTTTGGTGGTGTGACAAAATATAGGATATATGACATACAGAAAAATGTATACCATCAGGGCTCTGGGGAACATTGGGTACCAATGAAATCAGGTATGAGCTACAAATCAAGTCTCAGATACGCTTTCTCATATAGGTAACTGTGCATGTTCCAGAGCAAATAACAAGTATGGAGTTTTAAGTGTCAACATGATAATTAATATGCTTTTTAGTGTTGGGGCTGGTGGCGCACACCTGTAATCCCAGCACTAGGGAGGCTGAGGCAGGAGGACCTCTTTGAGTTCAAGTCCAGCCTGGGCTACAAAGTGAGTTCAAGACCATTGTGAACTATATAATGTGACCCTATCTGAACTGTCCCATCACCCAAAAAAGTTTTTTAGGCATTCTTCATAGCCTGGCACAATCCCGATATACATGTAAGTTCTGCTTTTTACACAAGAGAGTGAAGACAGGTTCTGGGAAATGCACACATCAAACCATAAGATGTGAATAAGTACAAAAGACTAGAGTAAAAATGATAATGTATTCCTTACTTTTATCAATGGATAATGATACACTCCTAAACTATCAATTTTCCTGCTGTGTTTTGAATGTTTTCATCATCCTGATGTAAAACTGATCCACACTCAAGGCATAGAATAAGTACTGTCTTTTCCTTGCAGCTTTGCTTAACTTCTAAATCATATCTTCTCCTTCTGACTTCACATTGGAGATGTGGTCTGAGCTGTTTATAACATGGTGCTTTTATTCCATAGTGTTTTTCATGCATGACAACATGGTTTCCTAGAAAGAGAACCATCCTGGGGAAGTGCTCCACTCTACATTCTGTGGTATATTTGCATGCTGTTCTGGGTCTTATGTGGTATCTTTGTGATATATTAAAATGTTGATACCATATTTATTGTGGTTTTTCAGAGACCTGAGATAGTAAATATTTGTCTACGTCTATAGAATCTTGGGGGACTCTGGTGGATAAGATCAGTGATTATGTCACTTCTTGAATGTGCAGCAAACTCTGGTCAGTGACAAATATAATTAGGTTGTTAATAGCAGCTTTGTAATTGACAATAAAAACAATGATCTCATTAGAGTTTTCCTCTTGTTAAACTCATTGTGAAAAGATTTTGTGGTGACCTAGGGTCTTTTTTAAAGCCCCTTTCAGCTCATTATTCCTTAGGCTATAAATAAAAGGATTCAACACAGGGGCTACGACCATGAAAACTACTGATGCAGCTGAGTCTTTTTCAGTTGAATGGTTGGATGAAGGGGTCATATAGACCCCTGTGATTGCTCCATAGAAAAGAATAACCAAGGCAAGGTGAGACCCACAGGTGGAGAAAGCCTTGAGTTTTCCTCGGGCAGAAGGAACTTTCATCACGGCAGAGACGATGTGACTGTAGGATGCCAGGATGCACGCTGAAGGAACCATAAAGATAAGCCCCACCACAGCCAGAACCAGCAACTGATTCAGACTAGTGTCTGAACAGGAGAGAGGAAGGAGAGAGTTGATGTCACAGAAGAAATGGTGGATGATATTGTCAGAGCAGAAGTGCAGACGAGCCATCATGAGAGTATGTAAGAGAGGATTCAAAATTGAAATGACCCAAGGTATGGCCACCAGAGAGGCGCAGAGGTGCGGGCTCATAATGGTGGAGTAATGCAGAGGGTGACAGATCGCTACATAGCGGTCATATGCCATCACCGTGAGAAGAAAATTGTCCATGTTGGCAAACATCATACAGAAATACATCTGAGCCAGGCATCCAGGGTAGGAGATGGTTTGAGTCTGGGTTTGGATGTTCACTAGCATCTTGGGGACTGTAGCTGAAGGAAGGCAGAGGTCAACGAAGGACAGATTAGCAAGAAAAAAATACATGGGTGTGTGGAGGCGATGGTCTGAGCCAATGGCCAGCAAAATGAGCAAGTTTCCAAAAAGCCCAGTTAAATAAAGACACAGGAAAAGTACAAAGAGAAGTGCCTGCTGTCCTAGCCAGTTCGAGAAGCCCAGGAGAAGAAATTCAGAGACACTGGTTTGGTTTTCCTGTTCCATTGCTTAGGTATATCTGCGTGAAGACCCAGAAAATGAGATTAGATTTCCCTTGCTAAAAAAAATTTCCCTTGGTATGTTTTGCATATTCACCTATTCTTAGACTCATTTGCCAAGTGGTCTCTTCGTAGGCCATCCTGTCTCCTCTCTGATGCCATTCCCCAACCTCACTGAGCCTTGGTATGCCTGTCCATCTCATCAGTTGTCTACATCCATCCCCCTTCCTGAAACCTCATGTCATCCGCCATTGCCGTGGGATCCGTACATACCTCTTCTCAGTAGGCAGAGATTCTTTTTCTGCTCTTGGTGTGGACACCAGCGTTTGCATACTCTGTGTTGTGCGTAGTTACCTGTCTGCTGTCTATGGGAACACATTCATGAGTCTCACGTACTAAGTGGCTCCATCCCAAACACTGAGAGTGAAATGAAGTTTTTCCAAATATTTGTTCATACCGTATGAACCATCCTGTTTGGAAACTAGTCAGACACCTACCACTTAGGACACGTATGATGAGTATAAATTACCTTATCTGGTTAAAATTTAAAATAAAAAAATTAATTTGCTTGAAAAATGTAAAAAGTTAAACCTCCAAAATAGTTTACATGAACTGTAAACATCTGAAAAACATTTACAAATTTCTATGAGACATGCTGTTGTATAATACACGCAGATAAGACTGAAGGAGAATACATGGAAAAGATTGTCAAGACAGAAGAGCAGACTTAAAAGATTCTCGATGCTTTCGTAATATTTTAACTATAAAAGAAGTGGTCCATATGTATAAAATGTCATGATTAGTTTGGTTACTCCATTTCTTGGCACTGTGTAAAGCACAACGTAAGAGTCCTTGATGTGACAAACTTAGAATTAGATAGTGGAGGAAAAACATGTTCTCACTGAAAATAAGTAAGTAGGCATTTACATGTACAAATGAGAGAGTAGCTGAACAGAGGACTGCATGGAGGAGAAAAGATGCTAGAGAGTCTTGGCTCTGGAGGTGGCCCCCCTCCCTTGTGAGCTGGCTAATCCAGGCAGGCTCTGACTCCCTCTCCATCATCTGGATAATTACAATAAACTAATCTCTCTTCTTTCTCATAGTGTTTTCCCTTGTAATCGTTCCATCATGCTTCCTGAAGAATTACCCTTCTAAAACCAGAATTTCCCCACTTTCCTTCCAAAAACATATTCTTCAATTAAAAAAACTTCAACTCAAATTCCAAATTCTTTATCATGGCATACAAGGCTCTACATAATTTCTTTAGCCTTATGTCTTGCTATGATCAATTCTTCACCCTAAGAATTTTCTACAAACACTGAAATTTTATATCTATATGACTCTCTCCCTTTAAAATTCTCTGTCCATGCTATTTAAGACTTCCCTTAAGGCATTCTTTATAAAATTGTTCTGTTTTTGCCTTCGTATAACTCATCATTGTAGGGGTCTTGTCTCCCTCTTCAATTTTTTATTTATTTCTCATCTGCATCAGAAAAATGTAAAATCTATAAGAGAAGGTAATTTGTCTTTTTTAGAAAACTACTTCATGCATAGGATAGCACCCAGCATATCACAGATACTCAGTATATATTTGTTGAATGAATGAATGAATGAATATACTTATTAAAGATTTAGGAAGCTTTTTTGATATTACTTGATATAAATATGTTCCCTCAATGAATATTTTATAGTGACTTTTACTCTAAGCCTTATATTACACAGTTTTTTTTGTTTGTTTTCATGGCTCCTTTCTGCCTGTAAGAATTTGCAAAAGACAGACACTAAATCTTATTCTACTCTCAGTAGGGAAAATCAGTTTTATAAACAACGAACTATATTCACTTAGGAAATCGGACTGATTTTGGAGGTGGAATGACTGGATGCCCAAGAATGTGAGACAAAACCACATATGACTTTATAGTTGGTTCTTCACCCCGACCCATCAGGTGTGTAAAGCAAGAGGAATGCAGAGTCTGGGAGTGAAATATAAAGGAAATGCAGTGACCCTGTTGGGCCCACTTTTTCACTGAGTAAGACAGAGTAGAAGAGAGGCCTTCCATGCTTACGTACAGACTGGTGAAGGCCATGGTGCTTGAGTCTAGAGATCAGGGATTCATCTGAGAACTTCCTGTGGACATCACAGAGGACAAGATTTTCATTATGAAATTATCAAATGGCCATAGATGAAGGGGAGAGCAAACTATGATCTTTGCAGGAGGCAGAAAAAATGAAGATATTTAAAGTCCTCCCTGGAAGGCCCCTTTTCTGGCTGTCCTCCACCTCCACATCCTGCATCAGCACAACAGGAATCTTGGCTGTCACCACTTGCCATAGTTTATGTTTATAGTCCTCTGATACAAAATCGTACTTATTCACCCATGTCAGTGCATGCAAGTGGTAGCAGTAGTGTTGACATTAAAGACACGTCTACTCAATTTTCCATAAGCTAAAATGATTTTGCTGTTGGAAATGTGATAAAACAATAAGTACATGAAATCAGCTGAGTGAATTGTGTAACTGTGTAATAAAACTTTAAAAGTCACTAAGAGAAATGGAAAAGAGTTACTAGCATTGAGTTCTCTATGCCACACTGTCTTCATAGTTTGTTAATCTTCACAACCCTATAATGTACATCAATCTCACTATGTAGACATTGAGTTTAGCAGGATTTGGATGAAAAGTTCTTTACTTGAAATCTAGCCCACCTTTTACTAACTCACGACTGCCTCAGGGATTTCATACCTTCAGAGAGGGGCATCTTTAATTCATTCCACAAGTGGTTATCAGGCACCTATTGTGTGTTAGATGACACTTGGGGGCCTGCAGTGGAGCCTGATTGTGTCTTATTTGAAAGACACACCTTCCTGTCTCTCTTTAGACCTGTATACTTCCCATGAACTTACTGGTGCTGGTCACAGGGCTTTCTGCGCAGGAAATTTAGTTTGCAGAGACTTCTTGAAGTAATGGGAAACTCAGAAGTAATGGGAAACATGGAAGAATGTTTCCCTTTCTGCAGGATGTATAAGGTTGAGGGAAGGGATGATTCTTGAGGAGGATATACCTGGAGCAGTGAGAACACTAAAATTTAAAAGGTTCCCTGTAGCCCTTGGGACCCTGATTCTGACAAAGCTCCTCTGACTCCAGAAATAATTACTTCACCCCTTTGTGGGTTTCCCAGTTGCAGCCATAAAGATAATGAACTGGCAGACAGTTCTCCGGGGAGATTCAAGAAATTGAAAGACCTGAAGGTTTGTTCACAGGCTTCCAGGCAGGATTATAACACCTCTCCTGCTCCATCTCCTAAGAAGCTCTTAAACAGTGAATGTTAAGCCAATAACAAATAGCTCTTCCTAAGCGGAATTATTTCTTCCTCTGTAGATTTGGCCAATTCTCTAAACACAGGTTTGTCTTCTCTGGTTGAAGCATTCTGCTAGCAATACTACCCTAATGCCTGATTATCTGTGTTGCAGTCAAAAGATCCACGTAGTGGCAAAGAAGATGAGACAATGGGCATATTGTCAGGATTTACCAGTCTTACCATGTGTTCTATCCCAATGTGTTAGCTTGGGGTGAATACCCGGGAGTTTGGGGATGGTCTACTCCAGGATGAAGCATGAAAAAATGGCTAGTTTATGATGACATGTCCTCAGGGCTATAATGTAGGGACTTAGTAGTCTTTTTTTCCCTGTACAACAAACTATTGCAAAACTAGTGGCTTAAAATACCAAACATTTATTTACCCCACAATTATGAGTCAGAAATTCGGGCTAGACACAGCTGAGTAGCTCTTCTGGTCTTAGCAGATGCCTAAAGCTCACTAAAGGGTTTGTTTGGGGCTGACTGGCCTAGGTTGGCAGCAGCCAGGTTGGCTATGTCTGTTTGATGTGTGTCTCATCTTCCAATAGGAGGGTCCTGGCTTATGGTAGAGGCAGATTTAGTGGAGAGAAGGACAACTAGGGAGAGAGAGAGGTAAGGGAGAAGGGGAGTTGGGGAGGGAAAGAAACGGGGAGGGAGAATGGAAGGGGGAGGGAGGGAGTAGGGGGAAAAGTGAGGAAGGACCTCCAGTTTAGGTTTAACATGCAGTAGGTTAAGATCTACTAGGTTAGGTCTCAAACACCATCACTTCCACTGTGTTCTGTTGGCCAGTGTGAGTCACAAGGCCAATCTAGTTTAAAGGGTTGGGGGAAAGCATCTGCTTTTTGATAGAAGACCCTTCCAAGTCACATAGCAAAGTGCAAAAAGAGGAAGGCAGAATTGTGGCCACTTTTGCAATCAACTAAGGATGATTGGTTAAAAGATTGGTTAAAAGATTCTTTTAACCATTACTTCTAATGAACTGCTTTGGAACTTGAGCCCCTCATCCCTGTGAATGTAGGCTTTGCTGGAGCTGAGGTCCTGTTAAGTGGGAGAGTGTTTTCATCAGAGAACAGAGTGAGAATTTCACCAAACTTGATGTTGCTACTGTCACCTAGCCATTCTGTGCTGCTCAAGCCAGCAGAGCAGCAGGCAAAGGAAGGTGTTAATATGCTAGTGGGGAAAACCAATCTTTATCACGATATAGATCTACATTGCTGCTACACATGGAGCTAAGGAGTAGTCTTTCTGGGAGCCATAGAAAGAGTGTGGAGTTACAGCAACCATGAGATGTAAAAGCACAGTTCCCTTGAAAATGAGTGTCTGCTGCCTCCCCAGGCAAGCAATGTAAATGGACAAAAGTGACAGCTGAGCTCTTGGGAGAGGAAATCTTTGCACATGCAGTTTTTGAATAGCTGCTGCGATGAGATAGTGACATTTTTACAAACTCTTATGCATGAATATGTTTGGAGATTGTGCTGGCAGCCATCTGGAAAGGGAATGTCATGATTTGGACATAAAGGGATGGACTTAGTTGATGGAGAGCACTATGAAGCAGTCCTGTGCAGGATTTAAATTACCCAATGGGCTTTTCATACTTACTTGTGAGTCTGTCCAAGGCTTAGGCTTCTTGTCTGAAGATGGGCAGTGGAC